AGACAGGGAGACAGTAGGAAGTAGAAAGAAAATCTCATATTACTTCAATCTGGTAGCCTTGTTAACCTCCTGGAAGGGAGGCATAAGTAGTTGGCTATGAACCCAAGGTCATGCCAGAGTGCTTGAGAGTTTGCTGTTGATGGTTTGAAGGAAGCAAAGAGGTGGACCAGAAAGGAAATTAAATAAGGACTGCTTGTCTAACCAATCTTCAGACAAGGAAGCAGCCTAAATATACAGAGACCATAGAAAAAAAGATGACATCCCTTACCTTTGTTCAAAGTCACATTTGGAGTAGGTAGAAGCTCTGCTTCTTAAGCAGCTAAATTCTGAGATATAAAGGCTTGACATTTCAGGAGAGGAGCAAAATTTGCTCATGGAGCAGAAACAACCCCCCTTTGCCAACAAAATTGGTTAATGGAATCAAGTCTTTTGATCTTTCAAAAGCAAGGACAGTGGTACAGGTAGTTCTCGACTTTCAACCAGAATTGAGCCCAACATTTTGGTTGCTAAGCAAGACAGTTCAGTCATGCCCCAGTTTGCAGTCTTCTTCTTGCCACGGTTTTTAAGCAAATCGCTGCAGTTGTTGCGTGAATTGTGCATTTGTTAAACAAATCTGGCTTCCTCCGTTTACTTTTTGTTGTAACTTTGAATCGTCACTAAATGAAAGGTTATAAGTCAAGGACTACCTGTGAATGGTCTCTCCCCAGGGTGGATTCTTTCATGAGAATTAAGTTGTCCTTTCTGAGTAAAGCTCTTTCCATGCTCGAGGCATTTATAGTTTATTCACTGTGTGAATCTTTTGCTGTTGAGCCAGATGACCATTTCTGCTGAAGCCCTTTCCACACTGTGCATTTATACTGTCTCTCTCCTGTGTGGATCCTTTGATGGGTAGTAAGGTCTCTGCTCTCATAGAATACCTTTTCACACTCCCTGCAGCTAAAAATTTTTTCTCTCCTTTGTGGATCCTCTCATGGCGATTAAGATTACCCCTGAAACAAAAGCTCTTTCCACACTCGATACATTTATAGGGTCCCTCCCTTGTGTGGATTCTTTTATGTGTATGATCCCTTCCAATTCTGTTATTCTTTTATAGACGTTTATATGGACCTGTTTTAGAAGGGGGGGGGAAATTACTACTGTTTAAATATATCAATATTCAACCAGGGGCCACTCCAAGGTGTGCTGTCCAGGAACTGGGAGTGAGCCTAGGAGGCTGGAACACACCACTGACACTACACCAGGAGGCGGAGGGTGGAGTGGCATTCTTCTACAGTTAACAGCCTGTCCTCTGGCTCCCATGTCACCCCTTGCTGATTACCAATCTAATGCACTATCCTGCCCCGTGATCCGCAAGTTGATCATCCCTCCACTGCCCGACCTTCCTGGATCCCTGGGATTTCTTTCTTCCCAAATCCTCTTTGAAATACAGATGTGGTTTTGGGATGCATAAAAGGGGGAGGAAGAGATTTGAGGAAAGGAAATGGAAATGTGAGAAATGGAAAGAGTCCCAGGGCAGAGTCCAGCCAGTAAATTTATTATTACTAGATAAGTAAATGCTTTGAGGAGTACATTAGGCTAGGGGTTTTTTTTTTGTCCTGTTTGTTGTCTTATCTCTGTGTTTCCCTATGGTGATTCTATGGCTTCCTTTTTCTACAGAGTACAATCTGCCTTTTACCTGTTTAGTTTCCATTTTTGGTCTGTGCAAATCTTGACTTTTTATTAACCTTTTCTGCTTGGCTGGTTGATTCTTCTTGAAGAATTGTTTTCCAAGGGATTATACAAAAAAAAAACAAAAAAAACCCGAACAGAAATGGGTTTTCCTCCTATGTGGACTAAAACGTGGCACTCAGTATTGCTGGCCATAACAACTGGGTCATATATTGAAAAAAGAAAACACGGAGACAGCAGGTCAAAAGTTAATAAATTAGGTCCCATCTTAGTGTCAAAGAATTTCTTCCCTAAGGTGTGCTGAAGTGATAAGGAGCAATTGCCATGGCAACTGCTGAACAAGACTTTTTCCTTTGAGAAGCTGATGTGATAGCCGCTCACTCTTTCCCATGTCCCAAGGAATACTCACCCTGGTCAGAACGGAAATCACAAGATTTCTGTAGCTAAATCTTAAGAAAGAAAAAATGCAACTAATGAACAGTAGAGAGCACACACGGAAAGCCATTTACTGGTATTAATGCAAGCTTTAAGCCTATGGAGAAGTGAGTTGTCCACAATGAATTTAAGCTTAGGGCCAGAGCTTGGGTGCACGGCACAGGAAAATAAATAGAAATAGCTACTTGTCTAACCAGCCATTTTTCAGGTATTAATTAAAAATGGTATGCCACTCTCAGGACACTCTTACAAAGAAGAGTAACCTTAGAGCAGGAGACCGTGATGTCAAATCCAACCTTAGGCATGAAAGCCAATCACTCTCAGCCCAACCCACCTCACAGGGTTGTTGTGGGGATAAATAGAACAAATTTATGTTAGATATGTTCACCACCTTGAATTATTTGTAAAAATGTCGGGATTCAAATAAATACAAATAAAAAACTAACCCATTAATCAGCAGTGATTCTTGGAAAGTGAAGGGAAGGTGGCAGCACTTGGTGGTTCTATTTTGAGAAGCCTAATGTGGGTGGGACATAATATTCTTGGCTATGAAAATAATGCCATTTCTCCTTTATCACATCCTGAGTAATAAACTATATGATCTTCTATCTCAAAGTGTCCAACTCCAGTCCATTTCAATTTACTGAAGTCGAAAATATCAAGTGTTTTTGAAATATACGTTTTTATTGAAAGTTTTAAAAAGAACAATAGAAACTGCTTTAGAACAGAAAAGGGGGAGAAATAACAGAAAAAGCTCAGTGTGATAAGAAAATAAAAGTAGGAAAAAAGAAAAATATATAAAGAATGTTCTTCACAGGTTGTAAGTACAATTATATTGTAACCTTTATATTGTCAAGTTACAGCATTACGCTCTTCTATGTATCTGTCTAATCATCAAAACCATAAATCACAGTCATTTTTAATTTTTTTTTTGCACAAACAGAGCATAAATGGTTTCCAGTGTTTTGTTGCTTCATTTACTGCATTGAGCTTTTCTATATCCAGTGTTCCAGTTACCAGTATAATTCTGACTTTACTGTTTTGGATTTTCTTTTCCTGCATAACATCAGCAACTAGATGCCCTGAGGCAGTGGTGGCGAACCTATGGCACGGGTGCCAGAGGCGGCACTCAGAGCCCTCTCTGTGGGCACGCGCGCCATCGCCCCAATCCTAGGCCTTCAACTGGGTTTTATAAAACCTTTTCGCTTTAGGCCTCCGCCGCTGTGTACACACAAAAAGGTTCAATCAGTCAATTTCAACTTCTCACAGGGAAAAAAAAAGATCTTGCAAAGTTGGAATTGATTGAAGTTTTTAGTCCCACCCAGTCTGTTACCACCACAGCCATGCCCACCCAATGGGCCACACCCACCCAGCACCTGACGATGTATAAGTGGGTTTTAGGTTGCAGTTTGGGCACTCGGTCTCTAAAAGGTTCGTCATCACTGAAGGCTTTAATCTAGCACAGGGGACTTCAAACGTGACCCTTTGACTTGTGGACTTCAACTTCCAGAATTCCTCAGCCAGCATGCCTCTAGCAATTCCTCAAAGAAAGCTCTTTTCACACTCCGTGCATTTATAAGGTTCCATTCCTATGTGAATCATTCATTCATTCATATTTATTATAGTTGATCATCTCCCAAAACACTGGGTGGCATAGAATGAAAAACATTCTACGATTTTTTTAAAAAAATATTATTATTATTATTAAGACTAGGAAAAAAGATTCAATATGATAAGGAATGCCACAACCTCACTGGTTCAACAGTTGAGATTCCCCAAATCTGTTGACATAGCCATGTTGTTTTGAGGGACTTCCAGAAAGATATCAAGGATGGGTGCCAGGGCAGAGAAGGCCCATCTCTTTGGTCCCACATGTAACTCCTTAACAGAGAGGACCCGCAACACACATCTTCTCTCATGTAACACAGCTTCTTGCCCTAAAGGCCTTTAAAGATCAAAAACAGCACCTTGAACTTGACCAAATCAAAGTGGCAACTAATCAGAATCAGAATCGAGCTGGAAGGGACCTTTGAAGTCTTCTAGTCCAACCCCCTGCTCAACAGGAGGCCCTATACCATTTCAGATAAGTGACTGTCCAGTCTCTTCTTAAAAATCTCCCGTGATGAAACACGCGCAACTGGAGATCATGACACCAGATCGCTGCAACCACCATAAATACATGCCAGTAGGCGTGCCCAAATTTTGATCACATGATTTATTTTATTTATTTATTTTATTACATTTGTATCCCGCCCTTCTCCTTACGGACTCAGGGCGGCTAACATATCGAATAAAAATACAGAAATTACAATAAAGTTTAAAATTAGTTAAAAGGGAAATATTTACGTCAAATTCAATTAAAAATAGTTAAAACCCCTCTAAAATCCCCTAGGCCAGTCCCGCAAGCTGGAACAACCATGTCTTGAGGGCGCGGCGGAAGGAAGGGAGATCAGGGATCACCCTGATCTCTGGGGGCAGTTCGTTCCAGAGGGTGGGAGCTCCCACAGAGAAGGCCCTCCCCCTTGGGGCCGCCAGCCGGCACTGTNGGCACCCTGAGGAGACCCACTCTGTGGGAGCGTACAGGTCGCTGGGAGGTAATCTGTGGCAGGAGGGATGCTGCAACAATTATAATTGTGAAAACTGGTCTAAGTAACTTTTTTCATTTTATTTCATTTTTTTCACTCTAACTTTGAATGCTCACTAAACAAACACTTGTAAGTGCAGGACTAACTTTATTATGTTCTATCCACAGTATGGATTCTTTTGAGATTTAATTTGTCCTTCCTAAGTAAAGCTCTTTCCACACTCCAGTTTATTCCTTGTGTGGATCTTCTGATGTTGAACCAATTGAGAGTTTGTATTGAATCCATTTCCACACTCCCTGGAGGAATGTTTTTTCTCCCCTCTGTGCATCCTCTCATAGCGACTAAGAGAACTTTTGAAAGCTTTTTCCACACAATGCATTTCTAGGAAGCTCTCTGTGTGTATTATTTGATGCACAGTAAGGTCTCTCTTTTCATGGAATCCTTTTCCATACACTATTCAGTTATGCTGTTTCTCCCCTCTGTGAATCCTCTCATGGCGATTAAGATTACTTCTGAAACGGAAGCACTTTCCACACTCTGTGCATTTATATGGTTTCACCCCTGTGTGAATCCTTCCATGATCAGAAAGAGACCTTTTCTGAGCGAACTGCTTTCCACACTCCAGGCATTTATATGGTCTCTCCCCTGTGTGGACTCTCTTATGATAATTAAGATTTGCTTTTGAAATAAGGCTTTTTCCACACTCCAGGCATTTATATGGTCTCTCCCCTGTGTGGTTCCTTTGATGGATGGCAAGTTCTCTTTTCTGAAAGAATCTCTTTCCACACTCACTGCAGCTATGTTTTTTCTCCCTTCTGTGGATCGTCTCATGGCCATCAAGAGTATTCATGAAATTGAAGCTCCTGCCACTCTCTATGCAATTAAGTAGTTTCTCACCTGTGTGAATCCTTTTATGAAAATTAAGTGTTCCTATTAAAGCAAAGGCCTTTCCACATTCCTCGCAACTATATAGTTTCTTCCTTGTATGGATCCTTTGATAGATAGTATGATCTTTCCTCTCACATAATTCTTTTCCACACTCCATGCAACTATGCTCTTTCTCCCCTCTGTGGATCTTCTCATGGCGATTCAGATTACGACTGAAACGGAAGCTCTTTCCACACTCTGTGCATTTATATGGTTTCACTCCTATGTGAACCCTTTCATGATCTGTAAGATATCCTTTCTGAGTGAACTGCTTTCCACACTCCATGCATTTATATGGTCTCTCCCCTGTGTGGATTCTTTTATGAGAAGTAAGATTTCCTTTTGAAATAAAGCTCTTGCCACACTCCAGGCATTTATAAGGTCTCTCCCCTGTGTGGTTCCTTTGATGGATGGTAAGTTCTCTTTTCTGAAAGAATCTCTTGCCACACTCGCTGCAGGTATGTTTTTTATCCATTCTGTGGATTCTCTCATGATGATCAAGAATATTTCTGAAATTGAAGCTCCTTTCACTCTCTATGGAATTATGTAATTTCTCACTTGTGTGAATCCTTTTATGACAATTAAGTGTTCCCATTAAAGCAAAGGCCTTTCCACACTCCAAGCATTTATACGGTCTCTCCCCAGTGTGAATCCTTTGATGGACAGTCAGGTCTTTCCTCTCATAGAATCCTTTTCCACACTCCATGCAACTATGTTGTTTTTCCCCTCTGTGGATCTTCTCATGGCGATTCAGATTACCCCTGAAACGGAAACTCTTTCCGCACTCTGTGCATTTATATGGTTTCACTCCTGTGTGAACCCTTTCATGATCTGTAAGATATCCTTTCTGAGTGAACTGCTTTCCACACTCCGTGCATTTAAACGGTCTCTCCCCGGTGTGGATTCTGTTATGAGAATTCAGATTTCCTTTTGAAATAAAGCTCTTGCCACACTCCAGGCAGTTATACGGTCTCTCCCCTGTGTGGCTCTTTTGATGAACAGTAAGGGCACCCTTGTTAAAGAATTGCTTTCCACACTCTGTGCAGCTATGTTTTTTCTCCACTCTGTGGATCCTTTCATGTAAATCAAGAGTACTCCAGAAACAGAAGCTCTTTCCACACTGTATGCATTTATATAATTTTTCACCTGTGTGAATCCTTTTATGAAAATTAAGTTTTCCTATTAAAGCAAAGCTCTTTCCATAATCCTCACAACTATATGGTTTCTCTGCTATTTGGTTTTTTTCATGGCCATTAAGAATAACTTTTCTACTAAAGCTCATTCCACATTTTCTGTATATTTTAGTCTCTCTGCTCAGTCTGGAATTCCCCAACTTTACAATGGTATGTGGTTTGTGTTTCCTATAAGGCTTCTCAGGTAAAGTAACAGAAAAGGAATTACGAGGTGTAGAGTGTTCCTGCCCTCGACCTTCTGACTGGCTTCTCTCTTTTCTTTTTGGATTTGCTTGATGGTCAAACATCATTTCTACTTCATAGTTCGTTGTTTGCAGCAGTATTAACCTCTCCTGCTCCTCATTCTCTTTCTTCATTCCGTCACCTGTTTGGAAAGAAGAAAATAGCAATTCCTGTTGGAATTTAGAACTGTTAGGGAATGGGAGATAACATTTTGTGTACTGAGGAGACCCAATACTCCCATTTTTCTGATTTTGTTGAAACTGGCTGGTGGATCTCAGGTTTGAATAGCCAATTTTTTTCTAGAAAAACTAATTGGAGATTGTCCAAATATACTTTATACATCTGATTTGTGTAAGCTGACAGCAAAACCTTTCATTTCTGCAGCCACTTGTGTTCAGCTAAGCGTTGTGGGTTCCATCATGCTCTGAATCATAAATGCAACCTTATCAATTGCTGGGTACCATTCTCTTTAGTTCATTTGAGAAAGAATATCATAGCTTTGCAGCTTTCTGAATTATTTTTTGTAATCTATTGCAATATACAGGCAAGAGATTATTTTAGAGTTGTTTTTGGAATGCTTTTAAATGCTTTGTGAAACTGATTTAAAGCTTATGAAGTTAATTAGAAAGAACATCTTTATGGGAAAAATCCGTCTTATTTACGTATGAATTTGACTTATTTGAAGTTTCTGATCCTTGTATCTTTTTATTGGAATCAGGGGTTTGTAACAAAAACCAAATCCCTCTGAAGACAAGGCTTCACTAGAATTACAAATGCAATTGGATACCATTTTAAATTAAAATATAAGAGGTTTATTCGAGTCATTTCAGGGAAATTACAAGTGGACGTTAAGTGTAAGAATTTGAAGAGAAGGGAAAAGGATTGTTTGGAGTGGATAGTATTTCTTGTAGAAATCTTTAATGGGGTGATGAATTAATTTTACTATATCTGAACAAGACATTTTGTAAGGGATTGGTAATGTTTAATAATTTTAAATTCCTTTTTTGCAAAGTTTAATTGTTAAAAGAGGGATGTGCAAGGTAGACTAAAAGGAAATGGGGAGTATATTAGTAACTACTTATGTCATTAGCTTTATTTTTAATTATATCTGCTAATTAGTAAGAAGATCTAAGGATTTAGAGTTTATAGAATATTGGACAATGTATGAATGAAGAGTATTTTGGTTGAATTATAAGAAACAGCAATGAGTTAACATTGTACATACATGCTGGAGATGAAGGGGGAATTTTCATATACATAGTCATACACAAGGGGGCTTTTCTGTGTTTTGTAAATATTTTCTTTTTAATGTATTTTGAGTTCCATTTGTGTATGTATTTTATCTAAGATAATCCTTAATAAATTATGTCAAAATAAACACCAGCTGTTAAGAAGGGGGGGGGGGTCTTCTCTCAAAAGTATCCCTGTCTCCATTACAGGTATGCCATCAGCCACAAATCCAGCTTGGAGGTGTTGGGTGCAAATTGTGATATCCAAGGAATTTTTTAAGCTGGGAACCTCAATAAGACTTTGCTATTGTTAGACAATGTGGGTCATTTCCTAAAGCCATGGTAAACATTTATAAAAAGGTCTTAAGTAGAGATGATCACCTTAAGCAATTTGAGTGCATGATCTTCCCTGTTTACGTATGACAGAAATAACTTTCCCCAATTAATGGAACCCAGAGCAAAGTGGGGCCTTACCCAGGGCAGCCATATTCCTAAAAGCCTCCAGTGAGACTTCTTTGCACAAGGCTCTCTGGCCAGAATCCAGCAGCGCCCACTCCTCTTCTGTGAAGTCCACAGTGACCTCCTCAAAGGGATCAAAGCCCTAGAATGAGAATGTTCTTTAATAGATAATCCCAGAAAAGACCTGTGCATTTTTTCTCTTAGTGCACAAAACAGTTTTGCAAGAATGAGCATTTTCTTGGAGAATAAAAAGTCTTTATGGCTTTTAGCCCCCCAGTGCCCCTCTCCCTAATAGCTGGTGCTCTATGTGCACAAAACATGACTGCATTCAAGTTTTTGAATGACAATAGCACTCTTTGGGGTGGCTCTTGGTGGTTTAGAATAACTTAGCAAGAATTTGGGGAACCGATTCCACTGGTTCACTTGACTTGGGGAGCAAATTCTACATTCTTTACAAAACAGCACACATCCACTAAGAATTTCTTCTCTCTTTCAACATGCTAGAAATGAACCTGGAAATCGTAAGGCACTTGAAGAACATTCTTACTGTTGCAGTCATTTAGTGAACTTTGGGGCTTTTTCAGGGAAAATCGGTCCTTAAGGCACAATATTTGTGAAGCAGTTATTATGCTATTCAATAGTTTCATGAGAGTTGAATAATCTCAACTCATGAGATTAACTGGTTTTCTGATTCCTCTTTGAAGTATTACAAAATATTAAGCAAGCAAAATAATTGCCTAATTGTAGCCTTTGAGGTTGTTACTATCTGTGGTATGTATCTCCAAAATGATCTTGAAAGTTCAATGAATGAGGCTCACTGGGGAGGATAGGGTGTTCAACTACACATAGACTCAGCATTTCGTTATACTGTAGAAAGAAGTCAGGAGCTTGAACTCTGCTGCTCTCATAATAAACTATAGTTACCTGCTGCAGTGGCCCAAATTGGATCCTCCTGAAAAGCAGCCCTTGAGAAGGACTGCATCGATTTCCTCTTTCCTGGAGCTCTGCTGAGATCTCTCCTGTGAAGGGCTCCTGCATCTGAAAAAGAAGCCTGGTTTATGACCCACATTCAAAGGACTGTAACCATGTTACTTTGGTTGCCTTACCTTTGGAATCCCCCAACCCAAGTCAAAGTGAGAGAACTGGGGGATTCTGATTTGAAAGTAGCAATTTCTGGGTAAATGTCTGCTGTTTGTGAAATGTTTCATTGCCTATGTTTATTTCCTCTTTTCATTCTGATCAGACTTGCTTGCATCTTTTCCTTCTTTTGATAGCTGTAGCCTTTCCTCCTTTGTGGATACAGCTATGCCTGTTCTATGTCTTACTTGAGGAATCTTTTCCTTTACATTTAGAAAGCTTTGCCTCTTGAGTGGGAAGAAATTGATCTTCCCTTCCCTTTGACCTCTTTATGCCTCTTGCGGTGGAGAGCACCAACCTGGCAATTCAGACAGACCTTGGGATGAACACAGAGATGGTTTTGTGAGGGAGACACACACACAGTCTCTTTGTGAGGACTGAGAAACATTTTACATGATCTTTGTTCAGCCTGGCTTTTCAACCATTCCCCTGACGTCATCCCCATAGACTATTACACTATACCAACATTATCATCATCATAACCATTGTCTATCCACCACAGGATGAAAGCCTCTTCTGCATGTTTCCAACCAAATATAAACATACCAACATAGGTTCTCTAGATGTATGTTCCCAGTGACTGTAAAGAAGAGAAGCAGGCAAGTACAGTACGACTTTAAAGTAAGATGTGCTATGTCATTAATGAGAATGAGTAATTTGAAGAATATCAGCTGAAATGGAATAAATAAATCCTTCATTCATTCATGTATTAAAGGAAACAAAGGGAGGGCAAAGAAAGGATTCCAGCTTCCTCTCTCAAACTCTTGGACTCTATTGCAGCCTTGAAGATGAATTTGTCTTTCCTCCCATGGAATTTTCTCCAAGAGGAAAACGAAGCATTTGCCTCAAGAACAAGTAAATTCTCAAAGTATTAAGAGTTACAAGAAGTGCAGACATCTGTCTTATTAATGTCTCTTGTTTTTTTACTAAATGTATCAGCGGCTCATGTATTCCGTCACGGTTAACTTTTCTCACCTGCCGCCCCTTTCCCGGCTCCAGGGTGGCTGCGGGACCGAGCAGGAATCCTTCAGCCAGGGCCACCGCCTGCGAGCAGCTCTCCGCTCCGCACTCCCGCAGCCAGCCCGCCAGTTCCGGGGGCAGCATGGCCAGCAACTGCTCCAGCACCACCAGGTCCAGCATCTTGGCTTTGCTGCTGCGCTCGGGCCGCAGCCACCCACGGCATAGCCGGTGCAGGCGGCTGCAAAGCGCCCGGGGCCCCTCGGCCTCCCGGGAGCGGCAGCTGCGGAAGCACCGGCGCTCATCCTCGGAGCTGCGGAGTCCCTTGGGGAGACCTCTCGGGCTGCGGCTTCCCCCGGACTCCCCACCGCCGGTCTCCGCCTGAAGGGCCGCGGGGGCTGCTGCTGCTCCCGCCCCCGGAGACCCTCGGGCCTCCATTCGGTCTCCGGGTTCAGCCTCGCCCAAGGTCTCTTTCAGTCANAAGGCAGGCATCCAGCCTGTAAATGTATTCTTTTATTATTAAATAAGTAAGCAAGTAAATACTCTGGAGATGCCTTCTGGCGCTTTTTTTGACCTCCTTGTTGTCTTAAGTGAGTGACACTCAGTGAAGGTATCCTTTTTCTCTGGAGCCGAGTCTGTCCTTTATTTACTTTGGTTGGTTTTCTATTTCTATTCTATCCAAATCTTATATTTTTATCTTCACCTTTTCGGTTTGGTTGTTTGTGGCTCGTTGATTCCTGAAGAGTTGATGAGGTTTCAAGTGTTGTACAAGTTTTTTTTAAAAAGGACACTGACTTCCTGGGCTGACTTCCCCACCTCTGTTTTAAGTGTCAGATTGTCAGACACTCTGGGCTGGACAATTAAGATTAAGATAATCTTTATTGTCATTTTTACTGTGGGCATACTGGCACACATTAAAAATGAAATTCTGTTGCCTGCTCTCCAAAATGTACACATACATAAA